CCCCAAAACCCCAAAACCCCAAAACCCCAAAACCCCAATCTTTCCTGTCATAGTTGTGATTATGAAATACTTATTCTTTTTGGTTAAATAATTACATATTCAGAAAGATCAACTTCCTGCTCATGATCCTGTTGCAGTTGACTTGTGCGCACAGGACATGGCTCTTCTTGTCAAATTGAAGAGTAGATTCCAGGTAGAGGAAATGGAGCTTGCTCATAGTCAGTAGAAGAACTTATAAATGAGCTAGAAGATTGGCTATCTGCCAAAGAAATAGGATTCCACCCTTCTGGAGCCTCGATTTCATGGAATCGAACAGGTTCAGGAACTTGTATAGTAATTGGGACCTCACATTTTGTGAATTTTCGAGACTTTATTCCAAAGGATACCTTTAGACACACGGAGTAGTTAATTTGAGCATATTTGCTAGTCACGGTAGGCTGAAGTTGTTGCGTCAGAGCTCTTTCTTTACTATTATCTTTGAACCATTGATAAATTTTCTCTGGATCGATAATTCCAGAAACTTGATTAAGATTGATTTGGAGTTCTGTTCCAGAACCCTCGATAAAATCTTCAAAAGGAGCTTCAAACTTTTTCTTGTACTTTTCGTAAGTCTTTTTGTGCGTTATTCCGATTGAAGACTTGAGATTGATGTTTTGGTTCATCAAAAGTTCAATAGATTTAATTGGAGTCGCACATTGAGAATTATCGATAGCACATCTCACAGTAATTATTTCGTTGCTAGCATAGCAATCTTTATCAAAATCTAAGTTTATTCCAACTGATCCATGCTTCTTCAATCCAAACCAGCTGTTTACAAGTGCTTCCTCATTTTTAGAAAAGTTGCTCAGGACTTCTGGGACTGGCTCTTTCACTGCTAAGACAGATTTGTATGATATATTTTTAAGTCTAGATCCATCCTCTGGTTTCAAAGCAGCTTCTATTGTATATACAACTCTTGCCTTAGATTGCTTCTTTCCATAAAAAGAAAAGCTAGATCAGCAATCATCAGGAATTTCAATGCTGAATGGGAAAGTGTATTGCCCAGCTTCAGCTGTATGATTATGAAAATTATAAATTGTAATTATTTGTGAAATGATTTCATTTCTATTAGACAATTTCACCTTCGACTCTGTCCCTTCATTTGCTATCCATGATAATTTCTCAAGCCCATTGATCTCAATATCAACCTTGGCTGCTGGGTATCTTTCTCTCAATCACAAATACACAGCTCCTGTAAACTGTTGACCAGCAATGGCATAGTACCTATCCATTACTATGTAAATATATCCATATTGGTTGCTATCCTCATTGTTTCGACCGTCTGCTAGGCCAGAACTTGCATGCTTGTTCCCCATATTAGAATCGTACTAAAACATACAAGATCCATTCTTAAATATTTTCTAGGGGTTTTGGGGTTTTGGGGTTTTGGGG